CGCAACATGTCACACTATATATATATATTTAATTTCATTTCATTTATTCGCCTTCCATAAATCCTGTTGAGAGTACATTCTCATGCGGATGTGGAGATCATCCTGGTTACAGTCACAACTAAGAATTACAGTTGTCATCCAATAGCATACACATTTGTAATACAATATTGATAAATGTATACAATATAATAAAATAAGTTAATTTTAGTAATAAGAGCAATGGGAAACCTTATACAATTTGTACAATTTTATACAAGTCTATTAATTGAAAATTCAGTAGTTAAACACAATGTCATTAATGAGTTTTGTATAACATATATTAATTATATAATAAATTGAAATAAAGACTAGTATACAGTGATATAAAGATTCTGTATATCTAAAATAACTAACTAAAAACCAGAACACAGACTGACAATCTTGTCTTCTTTTAATTGTAAAGCAAGACAGCTACACGCATCTTAAAAAGATTTATAACAGAAATATTCCTGTAATGTATAAATAGAATCTAAATGTAAAAACTGTTTTAATTGTACCTCAAAACTCTTAGTGTCACTTGATATATCCTTAATATTGTCACGTGCTGGGTATGTCACATGACAAATAACTTCACGCTGTCAAGGATGCAGCGGATATTTATTGTGCTTCGCCTCTACACTCACACACTTTACAATTATTATCACTTGCAGTATCACAACTAGTGCCTCTACTTCAATGCTTATTCTGCCTTCTGTGGCTGTGACATCTCAACTGCCCTTGGCTGTGGCTGGATCCCAACTGTCTTCAACTGCAACTATCCCAAGACTGTCTTGGTGAATGCAATACCTTCATATATACCTGCAGCCGTTGCTACAGTGAACATTCTGTTGTAACGGTGGAGACTCACTGTTAGAATTACAATACTGCTATTGTTGCTTCCTACGCAATGGTCTGTTATTGCGTTTCCATGGAATAACCCTTCCAGATTCCAAACACATGACATTGCGGCCTTCTAAAGGTTGTTTGTCCCCCAACAGCCTAATGGTACTTCCCCCCCCCCAGGTGTTCACCTTCCTAGCCTCCGCCCTCCCTTTGTTCTGATGTTCAATTGTTCCATTAGCCCCCCTTCTTCCAGAGTGCTTGCCCCGAGCACTTCCATAGTCCAGCGGTTGTTGATTCCGTAGTCTCACATCCATTCGTCGCTCATTCACTCTTGAAGGGGAGGCCAGTGCTTCTGTGTTACCGGTTCCTCCTCGATGTGTCTCATCTTTTCCGTTTTGGAGGGGGTCGAGGGTCAACCCTCCAGTGTCCAGTTTTTGATGTCCGAGTTTGTTGCGATTCCGTGCAGCACGTGTGCTTGTGCACTTGCACATGCCTCGAATTGCTTTCTCAGTTTCCTTATTGTGTCATCCTCTCACATTCAAGTTCTTCTTGTGCTCTTTTCAGCCCATCTTTATGTGGACTTGTGCATGACTCCAACTGATCTCCCTGAAGTCTGAGTCTCTTGTGTTGTGCCGCATTTGTACAGTGGGTCATCTTCTTGTTGGCCGCGACCAGTCGCTTCCTCCGGGGTCCATCAGCTCCCTGAGTAATGTTCTTCACAATGTCTCTCTTGTGTTGTGCCACTGTTGCGTGACGGGACATCCTTATGTCACTTCTCTTCTCCTTTTGCTGTGCCACTGTTGCATGGTGGCTCATCCCTCTGTGGGCGACGCCCAGTCTTCCTTGGTACCCACCCTGATACTGGGTCTGTTCCTTCATCTGGTGGTGGCGCTCCAGCATTTAGATTAGTAGCTGAATGGCTTGTTTATTAATTTTTTTTGGCAGGATGACACTCGATGTACTTGTGAATTCAATTACTCTTCTTAGGTCAAGGCGTATTTAAGTTTGAATCTGTCGGTCACGTGTGTAAGTCCAATCCGCTTGTGAAACATCAGTTGTCATGTGTTGGGTATGTCATGCGACAAATAACTTCATGCTGTCAAGGATGTAGCAGATATTTATTGTGCTTCGCCTATACACACACTTTACAATTATTATCACTTGCAGTATCACAACTACTGCCTCTACTTCAGTGCTTATACTGCCTTCTGCGGCTGTGACATCTCAACTGTCCTTGGCCACGGCTGGATCCCAACTGTCTTCAACTGCGACTATCCCAAGACTGTCTCGACGAATGCATTACCTTCTTATATATCTGCGGCCATTTTTTTTTAATTCGCTTAGTGGGGGGTGGAGCCTGACTGGGTCCATTCGGCACAGTGGCCACTGATTGGCCTATTGTAGCCTGCCCTGGATGATTATGATGATGGAGAATTTTGTGGAATGAAGATTGGCAGGGGAAACTGAAGTACTCTGAGAGAACCCGCCCCAGCGCCACTTTGACCACCACAAATCCCACTTGACCAAACCCCGGGATCGAATGCGGACCATGGTGGGAAGCCAGCGACTAACCGCTTGAGCTATGGCGCGGCCATCTGCGGCCGTTTCTATGCAGCGAACCTTCTGTTGTAACCATGGAGACTCACTGTTAGAATTACAATACTGCTATTGTTGCTTCCTACACAACGGTCTGTTATTGCATTTCCATGGAAGTAACCCTTCCGGATTCCAAACACGTGACATTGAAATAAAGACTAGTATACAGTGATATAATAAAGATTGTGTATATCTAAAATAAGCAACTTCTTTTAATTGTAAAGCAAGACAGCTACTCACATCTTAAAAAGATTTATAACAAATATTCCTGTAATGAATAAAAAGAATGTAAATATAAAAATTGTTTTTAATTGTACCTCAAAACTCTTAGTGTCACTCGATATATCCTTAATATGTTGTGGTAGATTATTATAGACCTTTGTTCCTAAACAATAAACTCCCTTTTGATATTTACTCAGATTTACAAGAGGTATATATATATATATATATACACGCCGGTCACGGTAGCTGAGCGGTCTAAGGCATGTACTGTCTTCGCTCGCTCGGAAACCGGGATCGTGGGTTCGACTCCCACTCAGTTCNAGAAAAAAAAAAATATATATATATATAACTTTCATATAAATAATGCAATTAAGAACAAGTGTTCACAAAGAAAGAAGAGACTTGCAAAATCAGAAGTCACTTCTGAGCCTTGATTCGGGCTTGAGAATATCCTTTGCTTTGAGTGCAGTATGAGGAGGAGAAGAGATAATTTTAATGAAATGAACACAATGCAATAATAAATTATGCCAGTATAGAATTTAGGTTAATTTTATTATCAGTTGTGAAGGGAGATTTTTAGATTCAAAGATGAGAGAACCATTTTATAAAAGTTAGTGTTTTTCACATCCTCACTTTCCAAAAGCAAACGTTTCAATATTTACTCATTTTTTGTATTTCTCAGGAGATGAGACATTGAGTTATATGAAACCTAAACTCTTCTCATGTGCTTGTTTTTTACCTGAAGCTGAAACTGAACAGTTTGTTACATGCATTTTTCCGTATGTTGTATAGGCAGGTAATATAAGGGTACAGCTGGAATAGCTCAGTTGGTATAATGACTAGGTTATTGGCTCTATGACTAAGAGTCAGGGTTCCATTCCCACAGAGATGAGAGATTTTCTCTTCTCTATAACATCCAGACCGGCTTTGGGGCCCACTTAATCTCCTATACAATGGGTGCCAGGGGCCCTTCTCTGGAGGTGAGGTAGCAGGGGAGTGAAGTTGACCACTCAGCAACTTCTAGTGCCCAATATGTCTTCATGGCATGGTGCTTAACTAATTAAGCTTTACTTTTGCACAAGACTTTATAGAGGAACAGATTCTTAAATGGGCATTCTAGTGCATTTCTGCCTGCACCAGGTTGTTACTTTGCAGAAACACAAAGTGAAATTTGTAATCTTTGTACCAACATAAGAAGCAGACCTATATGCAAATTTTGTTCAGATTTTCAGTTTTCCTGTAACACAACTAACAGTGTTTATATCAGTGAAATTTTGTTAAATACTTTCCTAGCTCCCCTAAACAATAAAATGCTCAAAAGAGTAGAGTAGATTTTGTTTCTTTTAATTTTCCGTCATTCTTGTTTAATCCAATATGATAATTTTATGTTTGTCATGATGCCTAAAATCACTTCTGTTTTTTTCTAAACTATTTACATCTGGCAGGAAACAAGTGACTATAAGCTTTCAAAGACAGCATAGCATAAAATTGAATTTCCTACATTCTTTCTGTTTAGTGAGAGAGCCACAAAACATGGCAACTGCCTTCCAGATATGGAAGTAGTGAACTATAAATTAAAATGTGTGATTTATTTTCTCTCCCTTAGAAGCTATGTGCATTATGAATTCAGTTTTAATAGCAAACATCAGGCTACACTCACCTTAGGATCCGTAAAGTCTATATCGCGTTCTATGTGGACCCAGCCAGTAGGGCAACAGCACGCCAGATCAAGTTTTGTTGCTCCTAGTGCAGCAGCTACATCTCCCTCACTTGCTACTGCAACAGCACCTGAACTCCCAGTGGACCCTGCACCTGCACCATCTTCACCCTTACGTATCATCCTGTTAAGTTCATCAATCATGTCTTTGGAAGTGGCTCGTTCATGAAAACCAACTGCCCAGGCATGTGCAGGTGCATCTGCCATAGTCAAACTACCACCATTGTTTCCTGAACTAGCACTGCCAGCAATACTTGTCTGAGACACTGATAGGTCTAATGAATGTTGCTGTTGGGTTTTGCGCGTGGCTGGACTCACTACAGTGTCGGGAGTAGACACAGTAGATGTTATCGAGTCAGTCATCTCCCTACAGCTACTTGTTTCCATGGATGATGATGCATGTTCATCCTCCTCTTCTATCACAGTCACTAGCACTTCCCCAACCCGACAACATCCCACACCAATACTACCACACTGTGGATTGTGCAACAACCCCTTGGAACATTGGCCCAGTAGCAGCTGTGAACTACCAGAACAATAAAGAGACCTAACATAATCATCTGCAACATTAACTTCATTCTCTCCATTTCTACTAGTTTGTTCTTGCACACTTTCACATAATATGCCACTGTCCTCCACACACTTCTGGACTTCTCCACTGCTATCCCTGTCCTTGTTAAAGGGAATGTCACTTTGACTCAGCTGGGCTTCATGTTCAGTTTGTGGATTTTTAGCACTGAGCTTGTAGTCACTGGACTGCTGTTGCATATCTTTCAAAAGATATGAAGCTTCCACTTCTGTAGTATGGGACTGCATTGTCAAAGAGATACCCATGCCACCACACTCCTCTCCTTCAGTGTAAGCATCCTGGAAGTCGGGTTTCAATATGTCTTTCAAATCAATACACGGTTCTTCTTTAAGTTCATGAATAACTTTATTATTATGCTGCATTTTCTTGGTTGAGGATGAGTTCTGTTCATTGAGTTCTACCTCTGAACATTTCACCTTTTTGTTTGACGAGTTCTGAATCTCATTTTCTTCTAGAGAAGTATACACATGGTTTATTGTATCCAGTTCTATGATAGTGTGAATCTGGTCCTCAAAGCTGTCAGGATTCCTTGTATTGTCATCACTAGGAACAGTCTTTTCATCCTCTTGCAAGCTTGAGCAGGTGTGAGTGGCATGTGTATCTGTCTTTGAGCAGTCTTCTTCAGTGTGCTGCACACTTCTGTCTGCAGAAACTTGATCCTCAATATTATTGTCAGAAGCAGAACTTTCGACAGGAGAACACAACTGTATAGTCACCCCTGATTCATGTTTGGTTTCCAACTCTGTTGGCACTGAGTATACCTGTTGGCTTGGGCAAACTGCAAGACTATTCTCACTGCTTCTCTGACAGTCATTACAACCCTGTGATTCAGGTCTGATCAAGGAACTTGTACTGTGTTGTTCCTTAACAGAATCCTGTTCTTCCCTAGATGCACAGTACTGTTGCTGCTCTGCTATGAAGTTAAGGACGCTTTGTAGAGCTTGTTCTCTATCCTGAGATAAAGGAATGCCAGACATATGGGATAAGTCGGGACCCTGACGCCGTGTGAGGGACCCACTTGTATCAGACACACATGTCCCACCTACTAGGCTTCTTGATGATGTGGAGGCCAGAGACTTTGTACTTTCAAATTTGACAAGGCGGTAGAAGTCACGGGTGAAATCAGTTCCGATGACAGCTGGTGACTCCGAGCTTGCAGCATCATCACTGCAGCCACTCATAGCTGCTGAGGAGCGTTTAGATGAACTTTCTTGGCAGCCACCTGTCCCACTTCCACTACAGCCATTGTAAGAGCAGTCATATGAATGACAGCACTCTTCTGAATTTGTTCCTGTACTTGACCAACTGCCTCCAGGAGAAGCTAAGCTGTAATTTCCTCCACCAATTCCACCATTGTTTCCATTACCATAAGGCCAAGTGTTTTTATGTCCTAAGCTGTTACCCCCATTTTGATCTCCGTCATCCATCAGTAATGTCATTAGTTCACTTCCACCACTCCTGTGGTCAATGAGGTAACTTGCATTATTCCAAAGACATTCGCTGGAATCTTCTTCCAGCTCTAGAGCATTATTCTCTTGAATACTGGGTAGCATTGTGCCATGCTGTTGTCCTGGTGTCTGACTCTCATTCACCACTGTGCCTGGTCGCCTCCAGTAGGAAGAGTCTGCTGAAGACACCACACCCGATGCCACAGACGTTGCCGATGAGGTAATGTCCTCGCATGACAATGACATGCTCCAGTCCTCCAGCTCTGCTTGATCATACTCAAGCTCCATCAGGTCTCGGTGCTGTTGTTGGAGTGCACTGCGGGTGTCATCCAGGCGAAGCCAATGCTGCACATAATCAGCATCCCACCAGCATCCCTCCACCACTACATCCCCACCGCTGCACCAACTGCCACTGTTGCTGTGTGTGTCTTCTTCCTCTAGGGACTCACGATTTTCGCTGAGGGCTGATGTTAGCAAACTGGTGGTCGCCTTTGTCCTTCTTAGAGGATGAGACTGCTTCTGAGCCACTTCACCAGCATTCGTTGATGCCAGGACGTCAAGGACAAGTACAGATGGTGATGATGATGCCATGGATGATAGTGAAAATGATGAGTGCTGCTGGTTATTAATGGGTGAAGGAGATGGTGCAGTTGTGATTTTGAGACATAGATGGGAGTCAGAAAAGCTCCTCATGATATGCTGATATGGGAGGAGATCACGGGACGGAGGGAAGCTGTGGCGTGGGTTAGCTGTACTGAGACTCAGGGCAAGACCTAGAGGTATGTAGAGCACATCAGGATCACAAGCATCTTCCACAACCAAGAGTCTGTTTCCAATGCTGGGTGATACAGCAGTTCCAGGGCTACTGCAGTCTACAAGTGCTGTCGATGATGGAGCAGTGTTGCCAGCTGTCCCAGAAACTGCTGCAACAGTTGACATGTCAGTCTCATCAGTGGCTTCCTTGAGATCCTCCAGTCCCCTTCGATGATGGATGTCTCCATTGGTGCAGGATGTGGTGATAGACACTGGCTGGTCTCCTGAACGAAGTGCTTCACCCTGTACATCACTAGACATTGTAGAGTAGCCCTCGTCTCGATTTCCACTCTCAGGACTCTCACTGCCCTCATCCTCCATCGCAACAGCATTGTTGTTATTGTGGGTAACAGAGGGCACCTTGCTACCAGATAAGTGTGCTGAAATGATAGGAATGAAAGAAAACATATCACATTTGATGAATACTTGTACGCAGAAATTATGTTCGCTATTTTCTGCTGTCAGAGGTATGCTTAACCCTGTCCATATTAAGATTTCTGCAAGAAGATATTCTTTTGTTCTACGTCTTTATGGCGATTTAAAAATTCAGCTGGCAGGATGTTGTAAATGGTTAGCCTCAAGCATCAAGAGATGACACGACTGGTTTATTTTCATTAAAATGCTGCACTCATTGGATATTCAGTGAAGATGGGCAGGATTCAAAGCAATAGGAGTATATTTAATTAATAACAAAGAAATGTTTAATATATGTAGTATAAAAACAATGGGGCATGCGGTAGCATAATTGGTTGATGAGTCCTGATGAGGTGGATTTTTTCAATTGACCTAATCCTTCCAACCGCACTATGACCCTGGGGTTGACTCAGCCTCTAACAGAAATGAGTACCAGGAATCTTCCTGGGGGGGTAAAGGGTGGCTGATGTGTAGGGCTGACAACCTTAATGCCATCTGTGAGCCAACTGTCTTAGACAAAATGTGGGAGCCTCGATGTCTTATAACCCTATGGGCCTTCATGGCCTGTTACGGGGATAGCTTTACCTTTAGTATAAAAAAATATGAGAGGGAAGAGACTGAGTCACTTGGTACTGTGGTCCCAATGTATTTATTGTAGAATTCATTAAAAATAAGACTGATGATGGGTGAACTTGAAGTATTAGTGGAATAATGATTGTAGGGCAAACAAAGGTACTCAGAAAAATCGACCCTGTGTCACCTTGTCCGTCAAAAATCCCACATTGACTGTCCTAGAATAGTATCTGGGTCTCCATGATGAGGAACTGGCAACTAATCACTTGTGCTAAGATGGCCATAAGAGCTGCAGGCAATATTGTCTTAGTCCTCATTTGCATTTTCATTCCCAAATGCCTGTAAAATCATAAGAAGGAGCATGTAAAGGAGAACTTATACAACTATTTACTTAAATTTCCCCAATATTTGACTTACCAATCAGAGGCCTACTGTGGCGATGTTGGCAGCATTTGCTGGCTGTGACAGCCGCCAGTGCTGCTACTTGCTGACCAGTACTGGTGCAATGAAGCTGAAGGTTGAGTGACCGTGGCCTCTGCAGAGGAAGCCACAACATATTGGGGTCCACAAGCGCGGCAGTCTTCAGGCTTGTGAACAGGGCTCCTGTGGATGCTACATGTTCCCTGGAATCCACAGGATGGTCCTCCCGTGAGAACTTCCCCAACATGTGCTGCTGGTGTTTCTTCAGTCTGCAGGTCTTCACTGTGTCCTCTTCGGGTGTTACCAGGTCACTGCTGGTTGGAGTCACTTGTTGCCTTCTCAAACAAGATTTCTGCATGTCATCATCTGGTGTTGCCAGATCACTGCTGGTTGGAGTGATCAATTGCTGGCAATGCCGCCTCTTCAACATCTCATCATCTGGAGTCACAACATCACTACTGCTATGCGTAGACATTGATGTGTCCGATGTCATGGGAGTTTCTGCAGTGCAAGTGCTTGGAGCATACAACCCAGGCAGTCCTAAATTCTGAAAATAATGAGTGAGAAAGCAAATCAGTATTTTTAGTGAGCTGGTTGCCGTAGTAGTAATGCTCTAGACTCACATGCAGGAGGTAGCCAGTGTGATTCTCAGCCAAGCTGTTGGTCATCTGAAATATTTTCATGGTACTTCTTGATCCCTGCAGGTGAATGCATGGATAATACCTTTATATATACTAAGACCATCTTCTCCCAGATACTTGCCTTATTACTATTCATTATAATTTTCCTGTCTCTTTAAATGTTATTATGTTTGCAATTGAAACAGTGTCCTCAATTATATAACAACTAGCTAACTTCATGGAGCTGAGCCCTTCTTGAGAAGCTGTCAGTTGTGCAGCTACTCAAGAACTTCCCAACATTTTATGGAAACCGAAATTTCATTACTGTGTTCACAAGAGCTCTCCGCTTGTCCCTATCCTGAACGAGATCAAACCAATCCATACCACCCCATTTTATCTCTCTAAGATCCATTTCAATATTACATGCTTACCTATGTCTTGGTCTTCCTAGTGATCTCTTTCCTTCTGGCTTTCCCACCAGTATACTATATCCATTCCTTTTCTCTCCAATTCACGCTACACTGTAACTTTAAAATTTATCTAGACAATTTCGTTACTAAAATTTCACAAACTGTCACGCTGCTGATTTCTTTTGCTTCTTTAAGGTACAATTTTGTGATAGTATAAATACAAAAGTAACAGCTGTTTAAATATTGTCTAATTAAAACATATTAAGAGTTTGTCATGCCTGGAATGGGTAACCTTAAGGAAGAAGGCCCTGTGTGTTCAATGAGATGGCAATTCTGGTTCCCACTGCTTTCTGGAAATAGAATCTAGTAACTTTATAATGATGATGCAATGATCTGCATTATTACCTGATGATGAAATACCCTTAAAAATATTTCAAATACAGCGCTACCATTTTCTTAATTCTTATCGATTACACATGTACTATCATCATACTGTAGTCTCCACAGCGGAATATCACGTTGACAGACTACATGGTCTTCTCTGAACAATCAACAGTTATTCAGCTGTCTAAGAAATACTCTGTGTTTAATCTCCTTCACCACAAAAGCCTATAAAAGCCTATCATCTGACTCAGTTAGTTCAGTTAATTCACAACTTCATAGTCTGTTTGACAGTATTCTTCTGTGTGACATAATATTTCATAAACATATATACAATACAAAAATATGAGAATTAGAAATACAAAACTCAGTTAGTCAAATCAAAATAAGAACATGTCACTGCAGAAGTCACAGTATGTATTACAACTAAGATGAAATTTAATAGAATTTTCTGTCCAGTGCGGCAATAGAGGTCACATCACTTTTATTATTCTTGCCTTACATGTTTCGGTTTAATTAAAACCATCATCAGAGACACCTTTCATATGGCAAGAGACACTGTTAATTAAGCTGGTTTGATGTTCACTTTCAGTTGTGTTATTCACAGATGTATGTTTTGTGTTATTGTCATAGGTTTTAGTTACGACGGCACTCGTTGTCGTATAAAAACATAAACATGTAAAATAGTTGAGTATGCCAATAGGCTATATGCAGCACAGGAATTATCACTTTTCCCACAGTAGATTCCTTATGTTTGGATTAATCACTATTAAACTATTTAAAATTTAATTCAAAATTGTCATAAGTTGTTGTTGGTTGTCAATTCTTCCCGTGAATGGGAGTCGTCATTCTTGGTGGTGTGTGGCCTTATATGCGTTATGATGTTACGTGTGTGCCGTGTCCTTTGTATTGCCGCACTGGATGGAAAATTCTATTAAATTTCTAACTTAACAGTGCAGCGGACCAGAATGAGACAATTCAAAATAACTAAGATGGTTTGGTGAACATTCCAGAATTCTTCGTGACAAGCTTTGCGATGGAATTTTGTAGCATATTCTCTTTTAAACCACAGGGTTTCATATTCCACTCTTTCTGAGCACATGAATGAATTAGATTCCACCTTGCTTCCCCCCTTGGCTTCTTATTACGATTTACATATTAGCAGACTTAATCTCTGAAAGCATGTTCCACAGAATTTTATGAATATTTGAAAAACTTGACCTTGAATGGCATTATTGCATGCAGCCGCTTTGCTTAATCAATATCTGAGCTGTTTCCCTTCTCTATTATTCAGTAATGCCACAGACTTATACCAAATTAGTAATTAATTCAAATCTAGTTACTAGTTATCCTGACTCTTTTGTGGTTTTCCTCAAACTCCTCAGTTGAATGCAAGACAACCACGAAATAGGCCACGACTTCCCCTTCCAAATTCTTACCTTGTAATCATGTTTTTATTTAGTTTGATATTATGTAATTTCTGTCACTGAAATACCATCATTAAATGGCTTGAGAGTCAATGAATCATGTGCACTTTAGTAACTTTAAATTCATGACCAGAGTTAGGTTTTATGCTGTGACCATCTTTACTAAGTAATTAACAAAGAAACGAAGGTCATCTTGGCTAGCCCTTCTAAAGCGCAGTCGTGACTAAGCACCACCTGCTTTAACATTTAAAATCTCTGCATTTTTCCCACAGACTATTTATGCATTTCATATCATTCTCAGAATGAGCACTGATTATTTCCTTAAATAACAACACCCAGTTAGTCTTTACCCGGGTAAAAAAACTGTCCCTATGCTTAATTAATTAAGCACCATACCATGAAGGCATATGGGGGGTACAGACATAGTGCCACATATATTCTTAACCTCAGGACTAAATGAAGATGAGTGGTCTGTTTCACACCACAGCTGCTTTAGCCCCATCAAGACAGCCCCCAGTACCCACTGGCTAGGAAACTGGGTGGGTCCCAGAGCTGGTCTGATTGTTGTGGAGAAATAAATACTCGTATCTTTTGCCCTGCCATGAAATTAACCTCAATTCCTTGGCTGTCAAGCATGTAGCCTAGTCACTATTCTGAATAAGCTATCCAGCTCCCAGTCTTTGTAATGGCAACAAAATCTGTACACATTATTCGCAAGATATAGCTTCAAAGGGCTAGTAATTATTCAGTACAACATTTGTTTTTGGCTTTACTCACTTTCTCCAGGTAAATTCTGGGTTTTATGTATTAACAAATGAGATCATGACATGTGAGGTTTTCATGGTAGTAAGACTCATATTTTATCTTCTCAGTTATGACATGAGCCTAACCTACCAGACTACATGGTGGCATAATCCACAAAACAACAATATAAATCAGAACTCGTCAGAAGCCAACAGCCAGTAGATTCTGCAATAAATGACTGATTCTCAGAAGTTACATAACAAGAAAGGATGGAGACTCCCATGGCCTGTTTCAAGTTACTGTCATATGTACAGACTAAAAGAACTTACATAAAGGAACATTTAGGATAATGTGGAGACCTACTGTGATTTGAACCACATTTCTCAGGATCACAGGTCTACAGCAACACCACTATATTAACATGTCAATACTTAAATATGTGAATCACTAAATTACATTACAGCACTTGCTGGTCTTCAGCATATGACATATTTCAATGTTCCCTCTCATGCCCAATCTGACATTTTCAAGAATTAGGTTATGATTAGATGTTGGTCATCATTAAATCCCATTGGTTTTAAAAAGAAGAACATTTGAATTGGCTCTGGAGCTCTATCATGAGTCTAGGTAAACTGACCTAAAATGTGTCTTGTTGGTTTCAGCCTGACATTCACAATAATCATATTCCAGTAAACTGTTGAATTGAATGCAATGTTTCAAAATTACAGCAGATGGCTTGGTGGAATATGATTTGTCAATATGCAGTCTTCAAAGGGATAAGATTGTGGCTGTTAAGTGCATGGGAAGAGCAAGAACTGACAGGACCACTTTCAGTATGATGCAGAGACTTACCGAGGTAGCAGTGTGCCCTACAAGTGGTTCGTCCCCAGCACCTCCAGCTGGCACCTTACTGATTGCCTCGCCTGGTATGAACAGGGGGGAGCCCTGATGTAGCTGCTGCACCAGCACAGAGGCCAGTGCACGGTTCTGAGCTTCCAGTTCCTTGATACGTCTCTGTAGTGCAATGATCTCCTCCCGCAAACCCTGCACACACACAACGAATGTTAAAATGACTTAGTACATAACCACTGGCCAACCGCAGCCCATAAGATGCTTCATGAATGTAAATCTAATTATATCATCTTTACAAACAATTCAATTAATGCATTTATCTGCCTAGGGTAGTGTTTCATAACATGTGGTCCCCAGGACCCTAAGGGATCCACGGGGTAGGTCCAAGGGGTTTATGGGTGGTTCATGAAAAATTAAATATATGGAATAACCCAGAAAATCTGAGGGTAAGTAATACGGCCAAAACAGCGAAAACGGTTTATATAAATATGTGTCCAGAAATGCTTTGGGGCACGCAGTAGCATAGTTGGTTGAGGCACTATACTACCAGCTAGAAGGTCGAAGGTTTGAGTCCAAATGAGGTGGATTCTTTCAATTTACCTAATCCTTGCAGCTGCACCATGACCCTGGGGTCGGCTCAGCCACTAACAGAAATGAGTACCAGGAATCTTCCCAGGGGTAAAGGGCAGCCGGGGCATAAGGCTGACAACCTCACTGCCATTTGTGAGCCAATTGTCCAGAACATGTGTGAGCTTTAACGTCTGACAACCCTATGGGTTTTCATGGGCTTGCTACAGTGATAGCTTTACCTTACCAGAAATGCTTTGACAACGAACTAAAGCTATTCAAAGGTGATCAGGCAGCAATAGAATTAGAACTGTGACTATGAAAGTAACGTATGCTAGGGGCACATTTGAGGGAAACTGGAATTCAGAGTTTATATCATCTTTATGATATATAAAATGCAGTGCCAACATGTTTTAATTGCACAGAAAGGTATAATTAAAACAAATTCTGCCCTTAATTAAATTAAATGTTCAACATATCCAGGAGAATAAAAATAAGTTGACAGCTACACCAAATTTAATTTCACATCCACCAGTAATCACGATGAAACTCAGAAACTATATTGTTTCACATGTGGAGAAATTCTCTGTAATGAGAAATATGGTGAGAAGTAATATTCCCTAACATTCCTTATCCTGCAACATGCATTTTCGTTGTTCTACTATAAAAGGAAGCAACACAATGTTACACATTTATGTTCTCCATTTTCCTGCTCTGTGATCTGGGGAAATATCCAGGAAGAAAAGTTTTACGTTACTGGTTTCTGAAAATTAGCAGTAGGCCCTATCTCACAGACTGCAGAACATGAAGACATGTATTTTCTTTAAATTATTTTTCAGTTTTATATAATACTTGTTTTATAATTCTTTTTCTACTGTAGAGAGTTATCATACAGCAGAAATTCCCAAAAGGGCTGCACAGCTGAGTCTTGAACAATACCTATGAATTACACACCTTCTGTGTGAGCAGAGCACGTACTACTTGATTTGCGACATCATCCAGGCATCGTTCATACTGCCGCCTCTGTAATTCAGCGTCTCTTGTTAGGTTACAATTCTCTGTCTCCAGATCACGCAGCCTCTCCAACAGCGTGTTCTGCACTTCACCAGCACCCTGTAACAATCAGCAGGTTCTGCACTGACAGGACCACTTCTCTCTAGAACCCAGGCTGCTCAAACTATAGATTCCATAATCTCATTCTGTGCAGCAGGATTCTCTAACACAGTTGTTTTTCAGTTAACTGCATTAATTACAAAATTGTGAAGCTTCAAGTGGATATGCCTAATGCAAGGCCATCACGTTTTATTAATCTATTTTCAGTTCAATATGGATTATTGTGCAGTGAGAAATATATTTCCACGATGTTGTATTTTGTATTTCAGACATACTGGTTGAGAACCATGACCTATTGACTTCTTTTCGTGGAATCTTCTGAAGAGTGGTGCTCATAGGACCTGCATATTATTGAGAATTCTTGATAAAATAGCAGGAAATCCTAAAGAACTGCTCTAAGCAGTAATGGCTGGCCTGGATTCACTGCTAAAGGAAGGTAGACCCTTGTGGTCTCTTTCCCATCTACACCTATCTGTATGTGACAGAGCAAAAGGAGGGTTTTGTTGTCAGAAAAATCCAGCGTGGTTTCAGCTCAATGGAGACCTGGTGTGAAGATAAGACTTAGGGGATTTACTTTTCTCACAGTCAACAACTGCCTGAGTCCCATCTTACACTGAATGGACGAAACATTCCATTTGTAAATAGTGTAAAATAGCTCGGTAAAATCTTAGATAAGAAAGTTGGTCATGCCATAGCTCAAGCAGTTAGTTGCTGGCTTTCCACCATGGCGGCCTAGGTTCGATTCCGGGTCTGGTCAAGTGGCATTTGTGGTGAACAAAGTGGCGCTGGGACACGTTTCCTCTGAGTACTTCGGTTTCCCCTACCAATCTTCATTCCACAAATTGCTCCACAATCACCCTCACCTATCATCTAGTGCTGGTACAATAGGCCAGAAGTGGCCACAGTACAAGGGACTTAGTCCCACCCCAATAGCAACAGATAAGAAAGAAACATGGAGATTGCACATAGAAATGATTGAAGCCAAGGCCTTCAGAACATTTATTAGAATATATTCCCTATTCAAAAGTGAGCAATTATGCGCTAACATTAAATTGACCCTCCACAAAGCACTCATTAGGAGTATCACGACTTATGCTTGCCCTGCCTGGGAGTTTGTGGCAGACAACCACCTACTGAAATTGCAATGCCAAGTGTATGACTGTTCAAATTACTAGACTGCGTTGTAGCAGGAGCTACTAATGATAGGGCATGATCTTCTGTACTGAGCCTGGACAGACAGAGACTTTGTATATGTTGTATATACATACTTTTAATAACAGGTAAAATATAAACTGTACATAATGACAACATAAACTGTACATAATGACAACAAACTCATTACTGCTGACCCTGACTCTACCAAATGACAGACACATCCTCTCATCAGAGAGAGCGCCCCAAATCAACAAACATGCAACTGTCTGACAGTAATAAAGATCTGGTCTTAAGCCCCACAAGGGTGCTTTATACCAAGACAGACTTGCCGACTGACCGTCGGTCACAACATAAATTTGACTTTGACTCTGACATGGGTTGTCCAGTGATTGAGGTTAGTTCTTTTAAGTACTTAACAAAGTATGCCCCCCACCCCCTTTCATCTGAGGAAAGACCCAGTTTCCGAAACGTTTTGCTCTCTAGTTTTTAGAATACCAGACAATGGACAAAGACCAAAAACCCAGTAATTCTAAGTGAAACTTGGTATAAGAAGAAGACAAATGTTGGTAAAATTAAATTTTTAAGACATGTTAAATGATGTACCAGATTAGATAATTAAATACGAAGTTGCATGCAAGGTGCAAAACAGCTACGTAATGTGTGAGGGAACAGAAAATTACAGAGAAAAATGGTTAACCAATGTTAACACGAAGGACAAAGATACCCAAAACTTGTACTTCATTACAGACCAAAGGCAGGTAGTCCATGGAGAGCATTCATAGTATGACTGCAAAGTCAGAATAAACTTGAGCCTAAGCCATACAGAACAGAAAAAGAGGAAGAGGGTGCCAGGCAACTCACCGCAGCCTCAAGGACGCAGATCTGCTTCCTGAGGGTTTCGTTCTCCTGCCCCAGCTTGGTGATGCTGTTTTGGAACTGATGGATGCGAGTCTGCAACAACCAGGCGATATCTTGCATGTATAACATACATTATGATTCATACATGACAGCATTTGATTGATAGTTTGTTAACACTGAGAAAGACAGAGCTGCAATGCTGTGAGATCTACATGAAATTAAAGGCACTGTAACGCTAAAAATCAGAAGAGCATTCTTCTGTTGTGGCACAACCACATCACTGTGAAAACAGACATCTTGAAACCTAATTGTATTGCTTGTGTGTAAAAATATAATGTTTCAGTCCTCTTTTTTTCAGTTTTAAAACAGTTCAATGCCACTAAAATGACATACAGAGTGCTTTCATGTAACATAATTCTGAAAACCTTGAGAGAAAGCTGATGGTATGGGTATTGACTAAGTGACACTCACTGGTTTGAATCTAACCTTGTCCCAATCCTTATGCAACTAACAGCAAACTGCAGTAAAAGAAAAAGTAAAGGTATCCCTGTAACAGGCCGTGAAGGCCCATAGGTGTGTGAGATGTTGAGGTTCCCACATTTTCTATACAATCAGCTCATCGATGGTGGCAAGGTTGTCAGCCTTACATGCTGGCCGCCCTTTACCCCCAAGAACATTCCTGGTACTCATTTCTGTTAAGAGGCTGAGTCGACCCCAGGGCCATAGTGCGGCTGGAAGGATTAGGTAAATTGGAAAAAAAATCCAATGACCTCATCGGGATTTGATTCCGTGACCTTCCGGCTTGTAGCATAGTGCCTCGACCAACTACGCTACCGCGTGCCCCCAGCAATCTGCAATCTTCTTTGAATTCTATAACAGAAGAGCTAATTGACTGAAGGAAATTACAAAATTAGAGGCACAATGTGTTCTATTAGGTTGAGTATGTGACGCCAAGATGGTTGTGGTAATAAATAACTGGAGAACGTGATACTGTTCATAATTTTTACTCTTCCAGCAGTTACATAATGAACGATGACATAGGTAAGTAGCACAATGTGTGCACAAAAATCTGCATGGAAAATATTACTTGAAAGAAATAAGTGTAGACAGACGAATAAAATTGAAATGGAACTCACGAATCGAATTTTCACAATATGAACTGGAATGAACTAAGTCAGGATGGGGTTTGGTGGCGGAACCTTGCAATGCTTAGATGAATTTTTGGCTTTTGTAAAACGTTGCAAATTTGTTGACAAGACGTATTCGTCTCAACTGCTCACTTAAGAACCTTGAAAGTAACAAACACTTTTAGCAATACTTCAGTATTCCGGAGGTCTAACTTTCACACACACCGCCCAACGATATTTTCATTCCTGCGGACATGTCTTTATTTCGGAAGAACTACACATGCCAGGAAAAAGTTGCAGACATTCATATTAAATACACTGAAGTGGGATTAAAGTGAACTGCACGCTGTAAATATATTCGGAATGGAAATGGCAAACATACGACGTTTTGTATTTGTTACGAAACATGACCGACAAAATGTTTCGGTATATTAAAAATAAAATACAACATTTCTTGAGCCTGTGTTGCATTACTAATTCGTCGTGATTTATTACATTACTCCATCTTGTGAACAGGCAGCACAGTCTGTTAGGATGAATACTGTGCCAAAGGGCGGGACAGGATAACTTACAGGCTCAAAGGCGTAGCTTGAATTAGGAACAAACCCTGTTATGGTGAATCACGAAACCCTGTTTATATGCAAAAGATCCACAGTTCCACAAAAAATGTTACTATTGCAGGGTCAAATCCCGTAATTTTCTTCCGACTAGCACTATGCATTATTTTCATACAAAATAAAAGCACAGTGAGGTCGTATATGTACACAAGCTTCATCTCGGGTACTATGGAACGTATTTCGACGAAATTCGGCATCTAGAATCCTCAACAAGCGTTGCTGTGAAATGATAGCATGACGATCGCTAGAAATCCATTAAAAACTTTCCTTTTCATGATGATAATCCATAGAATTTGAGAATGTGAATTTCAGTACTCGACAGACGTACATAAACATTTTGCGAACCTCCTTTAATATAAACAGTCAGCAACACAACGACTGAGAAAACTTCTGGAACCAGATTCCTTAAAAATCACAATTCACACAGTTATAGTCCGGTTTTGGATGACTTAAAATGGCATACTTTATTCATAAGACGGCGTTATTTTGAGCCATTATTTGCAAGGACCGGTCTAGAAAATCAAGATTAACGACAGTGGGGATCCGCTGCGCTGACCACGCGACAACCATCTATCCGTTAAAGTTGGCACTAACTTCGCCGACAAGCGGCGGTCGCTCGGTCGGTACAGTTCGCTTGCGGACTACAGGCCAAGGGTTTTTTTTTTGCAAGGAAGCTGTTGGCTTCGTTTACATTAACAAATGTCGGTGCACCTTACCTTCAAATGGAATACGTAACAACTTGAATATCTCTGGCAATCATTTCTTTAATATCAATGCTATGGTTAATCTGATGAAACCGATAGTTGCATTATTTTGTTAATTCAATATTATAAAATGAAGCTGGTTCCATGCCGTAGAATACCTTACATCCACGTATTTGTTCTATATGAGTGTACTGTTTTCTTTTACTTTTTATTTGCTTGAATGTACTGTTTTCTTTTACTTTTTATTTGCTTGAATGTACTGACTCTGTAGTTGACCCTCTTTAACTGTTGATTTTTCTTCTCACTGACTCTACAACCCCCTTGGGCCATGGCCTCTGATTTTTCAGTTTCATGATCATTTTACAGACGGTAGGACTCCTTGGACGAGTGATCAGCTCGTCGCAAGGCCTCTACCTAAACACAGAATAAACACATACATATACCCAACATCCATGCCTTGTGTGGGATTCGAACCCATGATTCCGACTTCCGAGCGAGCGAAGACAGTACATGCCTTAGACCATTCGGTTACCGTGACCGGCACTGTTGATTTAGTACGTAAAATTAATAAGTGAATTTTAGGCCTATTACTGTTACATTATCAATGTCACCAGCATGCCTACTGGGTCTCACGAAAGACTTTTCTCATTTTCATTCTCGCCACCGCTCAAAGGTTAGTCCCTCAACCAGACGCGTTTCTGCGGGCAAATTTTGTCTGCAGACATGTGACATCTAGAAGAGAGAGATCAATTTTTTAACTGATATTATTAAATCTGTTAATAACAAAGTTATTAATAATTGGGGCCTTCTCGTTCTTCAGACCTCCAATGGTAATTATGTCATTTAGTTTTTCTTTGTCGTGTCCTCTGTGTATTTTCGTCTATGCATACATCTTTTGTTCCTTTTTTTCTTTTCAAGTGCTTGCGTATAATTGACCTTCCAGCTGCTGTCAAAATCAGCTGAATTTCATCATCATCGTCTGCAATCACAGAATATGCTAGTGTTATATTACTTAATGAGCCCTGTAATTATATAAACACATTATACAATTTACATATTTAACTAGGCAGGAAACTCAATTACTTGTAATAAGATAATCACTGCTGAATCTGGTTGAGTGTAAATTTACTTCGAACTGCAATCGACGAAACACTGGTAACTCCTCTTACTGATAGCTGCAGGAGCTATCTCATAACCCAGGCGATTAGTTGCCGGCTTATTGCTTCAGAGGCCAGGGTTGAATCCCAGAATAATCTACGTGGGATTTTTGGCGAAAATTTCTCTCTGAACACTTTTCTCTCACCTGTCACGTAGAATTCCGTAAATGTTCCATACTGATCTGTCATCCGGGACTGGTACAACGGGCCTTTTTGAAGCCTCAGAACCAAAGAACTCAGCCTCATCTAACTCCCATAACTAACTCCTTGGCTGTAAGTTTGTTCCAACCAAATGTAAAATCCAAGTACCACAAAGTCCGCTGTTTCAGCTTCGTGACTCTACAGACAGGACTGAACTTTCTCCGAACATAAAGTCACAACTTTCGCGTCTGAGGGAACTAGAGGGATCAGGATCAGTGTCTTCCTCAGAATTTCATAGTTACAACACCTTTTGAAGTCATTATTATTATGATTTCAATAGATCCAGTCTATGATTTATGCTAACCGTCTTACAGTGTATATACCTTTTTTTTTTCACCTTATTCTTCACTTCCACACTACATGTTTCAGCACTAATGTGCCATCCTCAGGTGTCTTTATGCACGTTAAACTATTGTACTGCATGCCATGATGTCTTCATTCTA